TGACTGCGGGAGCCAGGGACGCATGTGAAGAGCAACGATCGTGACGTTCAAAACCTGTCGTGAAATAAGCAGCGTTTCCAATGACTCGCCGTAAAATCAGTGACGTTAAAATACCCCCAATACATAAAATACAGCTCAGAGTAAATTCCCACTTGCATGCATTTCGAAATAATGTATGGAAAGACAGAGCAATTGGCAGTCTGTTTCTTACTTAAGATCGATTCTCTTTCTTCGCAACTGCTTCCTGGAATTCGCCTTTTCGTTCGTACCAGTAGTTCTGGCTTTCGATGCTATCTTCAACCAGCCAGGTCTGAAGGAGCATAAGTTGAAACGGGAACCTATTCGTTCAGGTCACTTAAAGCCATACCAAGTTCATCACGGATTTGGCCTCTGTTTTTCGAAATCCGCACTATCCATAGCGACGAATTTCATCGATCGGATGGCACTAAGTGTGGGCAGTGAACAATTCACTTTGTTTTGGAGGTCATTTATAGAACCAAGATAAGAGGTGGCATGAAGAGGAATATTCCAAAATTGCGGGAAACCCTAGGTGACCATAAAAGACACTATAATAGCTTTTTACACCCAATTTGTCGTAAACTGCCAACTTCAAACCAGACTTCGTCGGCAAAGGAAAGGGATTTAACACAGGTTCATATTCGCGACTCCAATATGACTTTGCATCTGATCAATAGTGGCAGCCAGAGCTTAAAGCTGCAGCCCTACTAACATAAAAGTAGGCCCCTTGGCCAAATGGTCCCAGTTATGACCTAAGCTTTCGTGAACATTCTCCCTCTTTATTGCTAAATAAATATCATTGCATACACTAAGCCGATCATAAAGGGTGTACAAATGGCACTCGTTCCAAAAAAGCTTCTCAGGCGAGTCTCTCCTCGAGAGTGAAAAATAAAAGGCCAGCTAACAAAAAATTTGGGTGACATTAATTAGATCGGGTGTTTCTAGTCTCCACCGATAGCAAGAGGCAACAGACACTGATAGTCCGCTTCTACACAAGGGAAGCGGAAAACGACAAGGAACACTAAATAGTAATGACTCTTTGTGACCGAGGTGGCCGAAACCTTCCACGGGGGCGGCGGTTTCAAACTTTTCTGTTGTGGCATTCAAGGGAGTTGTCTCAGTGGAAGTCTACTTAGCTCGCGCAGTACTGGCAGTAGGGACAAAATCATTGTCAGAGTCAGCTTCAACGTAGTAAGATTTAAAAAAGCTGTCGCTAGGCCTATTAAACCTAGTCATTCTTGCATCAATAGCAAGCGTCGTACGAAAACTTTACTTCGACTCTAGTGGCACCGGCAGCAGTACTAACATATGTAGTGCGACTATTAAAGGAAATCGCAACACAAACAATACTAGTAATATTTGTAAAAATCATACTACTGACTACGAATTCATTAGGCTTTATAACAACATTATTAGCGGGTTTGATAGTAGCAGCATCCATGAGAGTTATTGCAATATTTGTGCTCCTAAAACTTGTCGAATGTTAAATGCACCTGCCATGCGTTATTTGGATGCAAACCTACAACAAATGCTTCACATGGGAGGGTAGGGGTGATACCCAGTAGACACAGACACACGCCACGCCAGCCACCACAGCCCGAATCTGTCATCGGCCCTCTTGACTACGTCTTGACCTTGGACTCAGTCGGGTGAGGAAGAAGGATATCCGATAGATGCTGCGTAAGTCCACCATGAAAATCGTTTCACATTTTCTCTACCCAAGACCATGATTACTGAAGTGCTATATATCAAGAAGCACGGCGTCTCTCTGCCTTGGATGCATTTCTGCATTTTCCACAAATCTATTATATTTTGTTGGGAGATGTGAGGACGCAAGGTGTCATCATCTCGTGGCATTGTGAATGGCACGGGGATGTTTGCTGTCGGGGCCTCGCCACTGTTAATCTATTATAACTATAAACCAATTCACGTACAAGGCAGCGTCACTGCGCGAACAATGGCGTGTAGTAAACTGGGGATATCATCGTTAATTAATATCAAACTGTCAACGACAGTAGTGAAGACAACAGTAGTGCCGTCAGCGCAAACATTCCTGGTCATTTAAAAACAAGCGTTGGCAGCAGGATCGATTGAATTCAATAAATTTCGCGACAGCTCAACTGCATCCTGTCGTTGCATGAGTTTGGTAACGAATAGAACACGCAACAGATTGACATGGCGTAACAATGAGGGTCATAGTTAACTGTAAATAATGATTAGGTGAAGGACACTGCAATAAATCAATGTATAAGAAGGAAAGAGGGGGTGAAGAGAATTTAACTAAATTCACGTGGGGATTAAAACTAAGTGCCCAATTACCAGGGTAATTGGAGGTTGACCACAAGGGCAAGCTGCTTGCGTAGGTCAGGTTTCTCTCACCGTATGTAGGCCGCTTCTAAGTAGCGTGGGCTTTGACTTGTTCGTGTCTAAACAAGTACTCGAACAGCTGTTTTGACGTCGACAGAATGACCGCTGTCTAGCTGATGCTTAGTAATGGAGGACCGTGGTACTCTATATTCTCATTTTCACAATCCCCCAAAGAAGAGGAAGAAGAGGGTACGAGGACATAGACCGATTTATTTTGAGACTGACGGTTCGGACACTCTCTCGATTCCATCGTCAGAGTAACTGGGTAGTTGTTCCTGTTCGCCGGGACTGTTGCAACCTTGCCTCGTGCCTGTTATTATATTCTTATTTGAAAAGCCAGTTAGGCAAGTGCTCTGCGGCCGTGGCCGTCAGTTGCCTTTGCGTTCGCCCAAGGTACTTGCATCCGCAATTGCATGTGAA